CCTGGAGGGAAGTGTCTCTGGAGCTGATGTGCAGCAAATTGTCCAGAAACCCCACTGAGCTGCTATGTTGGCTGTTCCTGGAGAGGTCCCAAGCAGTGATGCATTTGTCCATCCAACCAGGCCCCAAGCTGGGGAGACCAAGGGAGTGGTAGCATGCCAGCTCTGTTCTCAGTCCCTCCTTCGCATGCCCTTGTCCTCCAGATGCAATGCTTTGTTCCTGCTGCTCTGGTCGTGCTTCAGGTAGAGTAGGAGACACCTCTTGTGCTGTGGTCCTCCGACTGTCCTTGCAAAGGCTGGAGGACTGTGCTTGCTGCTGAGCAGGGCTGGTTGTCCTGTGGGAATCCTGCCAAGTATTTGGTCATGCCTGGTGTGCCAGGAGTCTGGATGGCCAAAGCAGAAGTTGTGGCAAAGACACAGGCAGGAAGCAGGAACGTGTATTGCTTGGCCTGCACATGCCTTGGTCACTGGAGTGCCTCAAACTTTGACAGAGGTGTCCAGGCAAGAGTGTTGGGTGAGGAACAGGCTTCATTCTTAACGTCTGGTAGTCTGCTGCTTAAGGCAGGGAGGGATGAAGGAGAGAAGGAAGATGGCAAAAGAGCCAGGCAACCTTGTGCTGAGAGCAAAGCTCCATTTCCAAGAGAGCATCTAAAAGCCAAGAGTAGATGTGTCCTGTCTCAAAAGGCAATGCCTAACACTGTGTGAGTGAGCACAGCATGGGAGAGGGCGACTGATGATGTGCATGTGGATCTCTAGGCAGAAGCCTGAGGCTTATGAGGAGAGCTGGTCCATTCATCACGAAATACATTAAAGTGAGGCGCTGGAGGGCAAGAGGCTGGCATCACTTGGTGAGGCAGAACAGTCCTCATCACTGGCTGCATCATCCGGCTATGCTGACGTGTCATTTCCCCTGGAAATATTTTAGCCTCTAATCCTGTCACTTGAAAGGAGCCTGTGTGGCTGAATGGGCATGTCATGAACAGGGAAATGCAAAGGCAGCGTTGCAGGGAACATGGGCAGTGTCCCCATGTCTTTAATTGTGATGCTTTGCATGCAAAATGAGCTTGTTGGTCAAAACATTACTTGCACAAAGGGTACCTCAGGGCCTGAAGTGGTGTGGACCAGTATAAAAGCCAGTCCAACTGAAGGCTCCCTCATTCACTTCTCTTGCCTTCACCTCCTTGGTCAACAAGGTGAGTTACAATCGTCTTTGCCTTGCTCTTCTCTTCCTCCTTGGTCAACAAGGTGAGCTGCAACTACCATTGCATGTTTCTTGTCTTTTTCCTTTTTCTCTTTGTCTTTCATCCTGAACTGAGACTGTATCTACCTTAGCTTTTGCTGAGAGTTTTGCTCCTTGATACTTCTCCCAGCATCTTTGCTGTCCTTGTCATGCTGGGGAGAAGGTGGGAGAAGGTCTTGGGATTACTTAGCAGGGAAACTATGCGGCTGGGGCTTCTAATTCTCTCTTCTTCCCAGTGAAGGCTGACCCTGCTTTTGTCTTTCATCCTGAACTGAGACTGTATCTACCTTAGCTTTTGCTGAGAGTTTTGCTCCTTGATACTTCTCCCAGCATCTTTGCTGTCCTTGTCATGCTGGGGAGAAGGTGGGAGAAGGTCTTGGGATTACTTAGCAGGGAAACTATGCGGCTGGGGCTTCTAATTCTCTCTTCTTCCCAGTGAAGGCTGACCCTGCTCCCTAGCCTGTGCCAATTCGCTTGCTGAGCAGGCAGTGAGGCTGCACCTCACATGCTGC